TCATTTCATTATGTTGTCTTCTCATATATCATTGCATTTCCTAAAGATTGTTGCTTGGAATTCCTTTTCAGTTATTTCAAGGGTTTCATGCTCTATAGGGTCTAGTGTTTAGGGATTACTGTATTCCTTTGGTGGCGCCATATTTTCGCATTCTTGATGTCTGGCTATCTGATAGAGCAGTTGCTTCTTCTGTTACCCTGGAGTGGGCTTTGAGGAGAGAGGCATCCTCTTCTTTTTATGGTCTCTGCTGGTGACTTTCCTTGTGTCAGTGCAGTTGAGTGTCTGGTGGGCTGCCTACATGGTGATTTTGGCTACTACTGTGGTGTTGATCTGCTTTTGTGGTAGCTGTGGCTGTGGCAGTGGCAGTGGGTGAGCCACCCACATGGAAGTAGTGTTTTTGGCATAGTCCTGCCTGCTGCTGGGTGGGTAGTGCTGCCCTTGGCTCCTGCCTAGAACCCCATGCATGCTCCTGCCTGTTGCTGTGTGATGGGGGCTGCTCCCAGCTCCTGCCTAGGACCCCATGCATGCTCTTGCCTGCTGCCAGGCAGTCAAGGCTGTCCTCAGCTCCCACTTAGGATGCGATGTATGCTTCTGCCTGCTGCCAGGTGGGGCTGAACTCAGCTCTAAAATGCTCTTAGAGATGAATATTTTGGATTTCCATTCCTAAAGTCATATATATTATATTATTTCTCCATTCTTCCTTATTATTTAAGAGTATTCAATGTAATTTAATCAGTATGCTATTTGGAAGTAATTTGCCATTTCATAGATGTATAGCCTTGGCTGAAAATTTCACTATCATTATGTTAGCATCAAACATCAGAGGCCTTCTCATAGCAGGCTCAGCCATTTATTTCTTTGTGTTTTCCTTCACTTTTTGAAAAATAGTTCTCTTATATGATTATTTATCTGTGTAGTCAGCCCGCCACTTAAGACTGTGAAGTTTTTAATATCAGGTTCTTATGACTTAAACTGAGCATAGAGCTGGCCTTCAGTAGTTGCCCAGTGAATGACTGGTGTAGTATAAGTTTAGGAATATAAAAATATTATAAGCAATAGCAATGCCTTAATTCCTTGTTCCTGTATAAATCAATTTACAGAGTATTTAAATAATCAATAGGGGAACAAAGTTCTGAAGATCATGTCTTGTAGACCGATATTATTTAGGCATGCGTGATTAAACTTTTGATGACTTTGACAAAAAAAAAAACAAGGCACACATTTACAACTGTAGGCTTTTAATTTGACATTCAGAGCAAAGGAGGTTGAAAATATAATGATTTAAATGGTCGAGGAAGCTGTGCCTTAAATACAAGGCATAGAAGACAGGTGAAGGAGTGAATTGAGCAGTCAGAGTTGAGTGTGTGCTAAAGCTAAGTACAAGGCCACACAAGCTGAGTGGGGATGCCTGTTGAATGAGCTAACGAAAGGAGTGGTAGAAGGCTTAGTCAGAAATCATTTTGAATGTCAGCAGTACTTTTTTTTTTTACCTTCTTTCTATATATGTCTCAGGAAGAATTGGGACTAGAGGTTTTCATTTGAGAGCTAGTAATTAAAACCAGCATTTTGATTTTTACACCACCCACCCTTTCAAGATCAACTAGCTAGCAACCATACCGGTTTTGTTACTGCCTGTCAGGGATGCCTAGGTCTTAACACTGCTTAGTTCTTCTTCAGTGTTTTTGTATTCTTGCCTGCATGAGGGCAGTTCTTCTAGTTTGTTTTCCTTTTGTTCCACTTAGAATCTAGGCCTACTGACTTCCATTTGTCTCAATTGTAGGTACAAAATTATAGCTCTAGCAGGTTCGGTAAAATTGAGCCCATGTGTAGTAAACTTGGAAAGATCAGGAGAAACACAGACACACAAACATACGCAATAATGCTGCCAAGGCCAGTAGATTGGAGGCATTCTTAGATGTCTGTACTTCATGGGATACTCTTGTCATTTTGGCCTTTCCCTGACTTCATGATGGCTGTGTACTGGCCTGGTGTTCTTCAGCTGTCAAGTTTTTAGTTTCTGAATAAATATTTATATTGCCACTATTTGGTGGTTTTAAAAATAACCTTCTGCTGTAATCCATTTCCTAAACGTTGTTAAAGGCATTCCACTCCTCCTTGGTAGACCACTATTGCTTGTGTAGTTACACTAGTCTCTGCAGCAGTGTGATTCTATAGTGCCGTGGCTTGTCATTGAAGAGCAAGCCTCCCTTGATAGCTTGGGGTGTTAAGTGCAGAGGAGAAGCCATTGCTCTGGTGGCCTAGGCTGGCTAGTGGTTAGTGCCAAGTATATCATCCAGGTTTGCACTAGTCAAAGACTGGTATTGATCAGCTGTCCTTTCCACACTCAAGGCTTTTATAAGCCTCACCAAAAAAATAACTTGCAGTATTCTTAGAGTGTCAAAAGGGGTTCTGGGGTTGATAAGAGCTTTTCCAGGAGAATGTTTCCTAAATGGGAAATGGAAGCTGTGTTTTCACCTTGCAGTAATTTATGAAATAAGCTTGTAAGTGAGCATATATCTCAGGATCCAGATGAGAGTGCCAGTAAGATGGTGACAGATTAGTAACCTCATGAAGAGATGCTAGGCTGTGACTTTTGAGGTGACCAAGGAAGCTAGATTTCTGTTTTTATGATGTTGTTATAAAAGAACTCTATATCCTGTAGAAAAGTTTGGAAAATGCAGAGAAGTAAAATTATGCATAATTCAAAGAATTATCACTATTAACATTTTGTAGTATTTGTGCAGATCTTTTTCTATGCACGGACAGTGCAGCATTAAGAGATTTAACATTTATGTGTGACTTGTGATTATGATGGTTCCATGAAATACTGTAGTTTATCTTGCTAAAACACTAACATGTATCATGTGTGCTATAGAGATGTACACAGTGACCCCGAGTGACCATAGAACAGCCACATCTCAGGAAGGCATAGTACTAACTGCTTATGTGGGGAAGCATGTGTGCTATAATGTTACTCAAGAACTTTGGGATTTGTAAGGTTCTTCGGCTATGTCCTTGAAGGGAGAGCAAGAATATATGGTGGTGTGTGACTGTGTGTATGTATGCTTGTGTGCAATCACAGTACACATTTAATGGCCTGCTTTTTTTTGCTTGTTGTCATATTATAAATACTTGACCACGTCACTAGATATTATTAAAAAATGTAATGTGCAATGGCTACATTCCATTCTGTGAGTGGATCTACTTTAATTTATTTAACATCATTGGATACTTTGGTGGTTTATGGTTTTGTTTGTTTGTTTGTCTTATTGCTGTTATTCCAACTAATGATGTTACAATTGTCCTTATCATTTTAGCTCAGAGTCCTGTGAAGTAATTAGGCTTAGATTGATATATGTATAGACGCGCAAGGGTACTTCAAAAAGATCGTGAATAAATGGAATTGGAAGACAATACAAATATTTCCATGAACTTTTTAAAGTACCCTTGTGTGTGCGTATATGTATATATGTATGTATGTATGTGTGTTTGTGTGTTAGATTATTGACACATATTGCCAAATTGCTTTCCAGAAGGATTGTTCTCATTCATACCCCTTCAGCAAGTTTAATCTCAGCACACTGTCACCTGTAGTAAGTCTTATAAAAATAATTATAGCAATTTACCAACATAATAGTTGCTGTTTTTCTTTGCATTACTTTGATCACTTGTGCAGTTTAATATTTCCTTCTGCTTATTCACCATTATTTTCTTTTTGATTTGTTGTGTTATTTTTATTGAGATGTCAGTATTATTCTTATTAATTTGCAATTAATTGTTGCACATTTTATTAATTTTATTATTTATTATTAATTTGCATTTTTTAAAAATCAGGATTGGAATGAATCTTTTGCCTGGCATAAGCCATGGATGAGCCTATTTTTCTTCATTCCTTTGCTGCTAACGCAGTCAAAGCTACCGTCATTTCCTATCTGAATTGCTTCAGGAGCCAGAACGTCTAACAGGCTTGCAAGGATCTGCCCGTTTTGTCCCATCTGCCTTTCTAGCTTTGCCTTATGTCCGTTCCCCTCAATCTCTGCGGTAAACTTCCTTTACTTCTTTCACCACTCGTCCCCCGATGTCTTCACACATGATCCTCCCTGGCAAGCCCCATCTTCCTTACAGTCATTCTTATACACCTTTGCCTAAGTCTTCTTCCTATATTAGGGCTCCTTAAACATTTTCATAGCATCCCATTCTTTTCCTTCCTTATATTGTAAATAACTGTAATTAATCTATTTGTTTTTGCAAACTACATTTTGAACAATAACCTGCATAATTTAGATGGGGTAATTGGTTGACACGCATAATTTCTACAGTGTTACTAAAATTTATGTATATATATACAGATCTATCAAGAGGGGAATTAAAAAAAATTGAAGTAGTCTCAGTGTTGATGGAATGAATCATCCTCAAAGAGTAATGGACAAGACCGTGGGCTCTGGAGTCTGAGTACTTGGGTTGGCATTCTGGACCCACCATTTATGAGCTACTTAGTCTTGGGCAAGTCATTTAACCTCTCTGTGCATCACTTTCCTCCTGTATAAAATGGGGTTAATAATTAGATCCATCTCTTATGATTGTTGTGAATACTGAATGAGGCAATTTATGAATTGGTAAGTGCTATATAAATGCTAGTCATTATCCTCTTCTTCATCCTCTTTTTCATTTTCTTCATCTTAGGTCTATTAAAGTGCCAACTTAATACAGCATAGTGCTTAATGATATCTAGGTTTCTGCTTTCTTTTCAAGGAATAGTTCTGTTGGCTTTGAAGTGTTTCCTCTCAGATAGTGCTTCTGATTGTAGTTTGTGGAGCTGCTTCTTTCACTCTGTTATTCTTCTTAAGGAGTTCATAATATTTCACTTTTGCTTCCAGAATTGTAATGAGTATGTTTTATAAGATAACAAAATTCATATCTGTTTCTCTCTTTTTCTTTTTCTTTTTTTTTTGTAGTATAACTTTTTTAGTATTAACACTCAGATCTGTTTTTCTTGACAGCTGGCAAACTTCCCTAGACTGTGTGAGGAAACAGAAAGGATTGTTGCTAACCACATCCGTGAGCGAGAAGGGAAGACGAAGGACCAGGTAAGGAGAAGCCTTCTCTGGTGGGCAGGGTCCTCGTGGGACATAAAAAGTCCCTCCAAGGTTGTCTGGTGGTCTCCAACATTTAGCCTATCCCTTAGTGGAAAAAAATAGTGGAGCATACAACCACATTATATTTATTTTTACTTATTCATGAGTTATGTATATGTCTTACTATACTAATACCTTGTATATTTTAAAATATAAACAAATATAAAGAAGGACTATATGAAAATAATAAAAGTTTCTTACATTTAAATGGATTTGTTTTCTTAGTCACTTATAAAACATTTAATTAAAAATGCCAAGGTTTTTAACCACTCACAAATTCCATGACACAGCTGCAAGTGTGACATTGTGGAGAGAACCCTGGACTTAGGCCACGTGTTCTCCACAAAACAACAGCATGCTCTTGGGCAAACCACTCCTTTGGAGCATAGAGCACTGGGATGTTGGTCTATATAATCTCTGAAAGCCTCTGTATGTTAGTATTCCAAGATTTTGTGACTCCCGGGTGAGTTGGAAGGACAAGGTATGGGGAAAAGAAGGAAGGCAAAATAAAAGAGAGAGAGAGAAACAAACCACGGGAAGAAAGATGCGTACAACATGCACATACAGAATGTGCCTGTGGGGTTGGGGGAAGAGACAGACGGAGGAGCCCAGCAGGTTGGAAGGTCTGTGAGTGACTCAGTCACAATCAGCTCTCCTTGAACTGCCGGGTTCATTGTTACTTCTTTTTATCATTGTGCTTTGAAATAATGAACTGCTATTTGTAGTTTCCACTTGTTTTTCAACTTTCACCCTCATGGATAGCTGCAATAGCCCAAAGTGGAGAAAATAGGTTTTGTATTTAGTGGAGATAAAGAAGTCAAGAAGTGAATATCAGCTCATGAGCCAGTGAAATCAAGCCTCCCCCCCACATCTAATGTTTTGGCAGCTGCTGGACTGAGAAAACCTAAGTTCTTCAGAATCAACTTCATTCCTGAACAAGGAAAATAAGATAACTTTTAATTTAGTGTCTTTAGTCTATAATTAAAATGATAATACATCCTACTTCATTCTTAGGGATCCTATGTGAAAATAATATTGAGAAAAAATAGTACAATTATTGTTTTAACCATCTTTGTACTTATGTCTAAGTCGGTTGTGGACTTATTCATGTTTCACGTTGCAGAGTTTTTGTTTTAGTAAAGTAATGTATTCAAACAGCATTGTCGTTAAGATTGTGGGTTCTGTGCCCAGACTACCTGACTTCAAATCTAAGCTCTGCCATCCACTTTCTGTGTACCCTTTGACAAGTTACTTGACCACTTTACAATTCCATTTCCTCATCTTGAAGTAGGATAATAACTAATTCATAGACATTTCGTGAGGATGAAATGAAGTAATCCAAATATAACTGACTTCAAATCTAAGCTCTGCCATCCACTTTCTGTGTACCCTTTGACAAGTTACTTGACCGCTTTACAATTCCATTTCCTCATCTTGAAGTAGGATAATAACTAATTCATAGACATTTCGTGAGGATGAAATGAAGTAATCCAAATATAACTCTTAGTTCTTAATTAATTTCAGTTGTTTTTGTTGTTATTCCTGAAGAGCTATGACACATAGTCGATATGAGAAAGAATTGTCTTCTCTGATTTCAAGGGAAATTGTCTTCCATCAGCAACTCTGATGTAGTGATTAGTTCACTCCCCAAGTGGAACATAAGGGATGGGGCAGGCTTCTCCCTCCTGAGTGACAGTCTCAGATGGCCTGGTCTGGCAGTTGCCAACTGCATATAGAAACTGTAGTGGTCACCTCTAATATGGACCTGTGTGGCACAGTATAAACACGAATGTTTTTGGAAATGTAAACATGTCATTTTGGATAGATCTCACATTTGAATTCTGAATTCTGTGCTGCCTTGGGCCATGTGGTACTTTTGAACTATCTGGTCAGAGAGAGTGACCCATTTTCTCCAGCCTCTGTTCCTGAACTGCTTTGAGGCATTCTTGCATTGTTAGTTGTTGTAGTTGTTTTTTTTTTTTTTTTTTAATAGAATTATTACTAGTTTCTACTCTAGAAGCTTTGTGGGGAAGAAAAATCTTCAAAATTAAAAATATGAAAAACCATAAATCTGTCTGTGAGCTTTTTTCTTAAACAAGGCTTTTTTTTTTTTTGAACATCTGTATGTGCCAGCTATTATTTTAGGTATTTCCATACATATAATTGTATGTTAACGTGGTTGACTTTGTGGTGATTACTGCTATCAGGGGTAGCTTTACTTTTCTTCAACTAAATATTTAATAACTGTGGGTGAAAAAGGCAGTGAGAAACTCTGAGGAAGTAAAAAGATGAGAAGAAAATGTACTATTTTCCTTTTCATCCCCCACATGCGACCTGGCTCTTTTCCTAGTGTGAGCACAGACTCCCAGTTTCCAGGAATATGAATGAGAACAGCCATAGCTTTTATTTTTTTCCACTTTTTCCTATACTTCAGTCCAAGTTAATGTGTGTGAATGTACAAGATATTCATGACAACCTTTGGCAATGTTGAGAATTATATAGATATTTGCTTCTTATGGTGGCAGCAATTTATTTGTGTATAAATATTACAGTTTATTGGTACAAACCTCTGACCAAATAAGTTTGAGATTATAACATTTAACAGAATCTGGCTTTTTTGCTGGGAAAATAGAGGCAAAAACTACAGCTCAATCTAATAATGATCACTCCTCCTAACTCTTCAGTTTTCTTCAAGAAATGAAATAAAACTGAATCTGACGATATGAAACTTTTTCATACAAGTATGATGTTATTGACCCAACGCCTCTGTGCCTTGACTTAATTTTTCGTAGTGAGAGGAGATTTAGAGTGATCATTGTGATTGTTTATCTCAGGTTCCCTTGTGATTCTCAGCAAGATTTGGTTAGATGACCAGTTGAGATTAGCCACAAGCAAGACCTCAGAGCCCATAACACTGGGTACTGAGGAAGACACAGTAATTAGTGACCATGTACTAACTAGATGGCAGCAAATTGCTCCCTTTAAAGCAAACTGTTCCTCAAGCCCGGTAGATAGCTGTAAAATTAAAGCCAGAAATATTTATTGCTTATTTATTTATTACTTATATGTATCATGCTAGGTTCTAAGAACAAAATGATGAAGAAGACAAACATAATCTCTGCTTCTATGGAGCTTACACTATTGTGGGGAAGAGAAACATCAAACCCAAAATTATATAAATAATTAATTACATTGTGGTAAATGTCACAATAAATTAAAAAAAATGTAGTGTGTTGTATAAATATATATATATACCATATATATACTATATACCATAATTATATATATGTATAATGTATAATACATATAACATGTATATTTGTCTATGTATATGTATAATATGTATAATATAGGCTGAGACTAATAGCACAGCCCAATCTGATCTTAGGTGAGGGCAGGGGGTGATCGATCAGGAAAGGCTTTCTTGAGGAAGTGCCCGCTGGGAAGATAATGTATAATATGTCTGTGGACTGTTACCATGATGATTCTGATGCACCCAAATGTTACCTTCAATGAAGGAAAGCAGCATTAAAAATACTCATCATGGTCATTCGATGTTTATTCAATAAGTAAGTGCAGAGCTCTGGAGGTATTCAGACAGATTCTTTTTGTTTGTTTGTTTTAACATCTACTTGTAGGGTGCAGTGTGTTGTTTCAGTACATGCTTATACTGCACAGTGATTTGCTTAGGGTAGATAGCTTGGTTTTGTACCTGTTAGTCCACCTCTTCCCCTCCCCCCACCTTCCCTCCCTCCTGGCCTCTGGTAATCATCATTCTACTCTCTACTTCTATGAGAACCACTTTTTTTTTTTTTTTCTTTTTAGATTCCACATATGAGTGAGATGATGCAGTATTCATCTTTCTGCCAGGCAGAGCTTAAGTATATTTCCCTATCAACATGTCTCGGCATCCTAGAAAGGAACCGATATGGTACAGTTGGGAGAAAAAATGGAAACTTAGGAAGAGGAACTCAGTTTTGAATATTTCTGGAAATAAACCGTCTTTCTTACAGTTTCTGGTTGCTCTATTCTCCTCCTGTTCTCAGGCTCCTTGTCTCCCCGTTGAAGAATACTTGCCACAGAGGGACCTCTCACATCTCCGACTTAGAATATCTTCTGATTAGAATTGTTTTATGTTGTCTGTGATGTGCATTCAGTTCCTTCCTTCACAAATCTTGACTGAATGCACATGATGTTCCAGGCTCTGTTCTAGGCACTGGCGATACAGCAGGAGATCCAAGAGATGAGGTCTATATACCGAGTATGTAGAAACTTACTAGGTCAGCCAGTGGTAGCGCTACAAGAGAGAATAAGGCAGGGTAGGATGATAGAGAGTAACGAGAGTGCTAATTTAGATAGGACAGGCAGAGAAGATCCCTCTGATGAGCTGATATTTTAGCAGAGACCTGACTGATATATTGATTTGAAAAGGAAGCCTACTAATCTCAAGGTGGCTTTGTATCTATTTGTATATGGCCTTTTTGAGTTGGTTGATAAGCTGCTTCTCCTGATTGCCTAGAGGGAGCTTAAAGAGATAAAGAAAGGAAAGGGAAACTCAAGAGGTGATATTGTTCATTCATGGCTAATTTATGATGTGTAGCAGAGTAGGAAGCTCTTCTGCCACATGTCTTCTTATGCATGCTTGCTCTTCTTTTGAACATTATGCCTACATTTTAGAGGAATAGAATAATTCCGGGTTCAGTGCCAGAAAATAGTATATGCCTATAAACTATCATGCCATTCTCTTCATGGGGTATTCCAACTTACTTTTCATGTAGATTTTTAACTTATGAATTTAGAGTATAAAATTATGAGTCTAATGAAGAAAAATTAATTTAACTTTTCATTTTAATCGAAGCAACATTTAAAAATTAAATGAAGGTAAGGAATGTGTAGGAATGTGTAAAGGAATGTGTAAATTAATTTAATTCATTAAATTACTGAATTTAATGTTTGAAAAAATTTTAAATGGCTTTTCATTGAACAGTTTTCCTTTGACTTACAGGTCCTGCTACTGATTGACATTCAAGTATCCTACATCAACACCAACCATGAAGACTTCATTGGCTTCGCAAAGTACGTGAATCACTTGATTGTCATGTGCATTCCTCCTGCTGGTCTGTCTAGAACACACTTTGTCAATTTCTACTTCAATTCCACCTCCTTTTGAGAATACAGTCTGTGTCAAAATTAACTCTGAGGTGACCTATTTAGGAGGTCTGAACTCCATGGCTGTGGGGCTGGGATATTTACTGTTCTCTCAGTAAAGTAGTTGGCTCTGTTCTGCTGCATATAAAGTCAGATGAGTCTTACATCCTCATTTTTGGAGGATGATCTGCAGTTTATACTTGAACTCCCATAGATAAGCAGTAACAGATGCACATTTAAAATTTGTTTGAGAACAGTTTCTCATATTAATTTGAAATATCAAGTGCAATTCACAGGATACAAGCTATTTCAACTTATCTTAATCAGAACATAGAGGTCTTTTTAAAAAAACTGTCCTTTTTGAACTTAGATGTCATCACTGGGATGAACATTCTCTTTTCTGTAAAGCACATGTACTTTATATATGCTTGTCTATATATTGCTGTTCTTCACAGATATTGTCATGTAGACATCATGGTTAGTTAGTCATGGGTGACTATTAATCATGTGATATTTTTAAGTCCCTGAATTCACTATTTTTTTCCTGCCCATTAGTGAAACCAGTCTTTGTTTGATTTGAAGAATCTTGATTCCAATAACTCTAAAATATATTTATGGCATGTAAATGGTTCCAACTTCAAGTATATAAAATATAGCCTACTTTACATAAAATATAAAATCAAAGAGCCTGTGTACTTTTACTAGAACTGGTTATTCAAGAATAGGGTATTCAAGAATAGGGACAAATAAAAAATAAGCACAATGAAATGTCAAACCAATTTACTTTATTACATCCTGACTTAGAAGAAACAGATATGTAGACCATGTGACCTAAACTAAACAGTGGCCTGAGGAATTTATAGGCATGTTTTGAGGTGAAAGGCCCAGTTATCCAACAGAAAATTGTCTCATTCTAAACTTGGCTGTAGTTGTGATGGCCTAACCAATGGTGTAAATATATTTTGCATGCAGTAGCTATTACTATTGAGTGGTAGATTAGTTTTTCTCAACTGTTTTCTGTCTGTGACATAAACTTGTTAGAACACAGTGATAAATATGTTCCCTTGTCTAATTGTCTTTTCAGCCCCACTGCCCACTCCAGCTTTTAGATGGGTATTTGCTACACAGGCAGTTCACACAGACCTGCCCGATAGCTCTCACCATTCACACTGCACATTCCCCAGACTCTAATATGCCTCTTGTTCCTAGGTCTGGAAGGGGACACTGCCCACTCCAGCTTTTAGATGGGTATTTGCTACACAGGCAGTTCACACAGACCTGCCCCATAGCTCTCACCATTCACACTGCACATTCCCCAGACTCTAATATGCCTCTTGTTCCTAGGTCTGGAAGGGGCATCTGGGAATTTTTTCCAGATATCCCCCAGTCAGTGAACTCCAGGTGGCCTGTGCTAAGCTCTACTCTACTTTCTACGGGGTAAATGTAAAGAAGAATAAAAAGATTGTTTTTGCCTTTGAAGAACTTTCCTAATAATTGAAAAGTATAGAGAGACACATGCAAAAATTTAAACTGACAGATCCTTCATTTGCTTCACTTGCTTCTTTGAGGAGTTTAAAAGACAAACAAGTCCTTGAGTCATTTGAAATAACAGAACTGCTGCCTTTAATGTTGATTTTTATGGATTACAAATGCCAGTTGGGTTTTTACAAAAATGTAGCAGATGTAGACGTAAACTTGACACAATAACTTAAAAGTGAAAAGGATGTTACAACATTGCCTCACGGTATCCCAATTCAAGGGCAAAATGTAGAAAAAGCCAAAAGTAGTTTGGAAAGATTCAAGTTTTGAACATATTATATCACCAGTGCTTCAATTTAAAATTTTACCCCCATGCTCTTCTTGAAACATTTTCTTTATCCTGGATTATCTTTTTTTTTTTTTTAAAGGGAGGTGGGCTAGAGTTTATTTTTTTCCTCAGTAAATTTTAATATTTTCTACATCAGAAGCTGTAAGACTACAGTATTATATTGATTTCTAGGTTTTGAAAGACATGTAAGTTTTCAATTTAGTACTTTCAGTTTTTTGATGTAGTCTCTTTGGAATTCAGCTGACTGCCCCTATTTTTCCAGCAGCAAGGTAGGCTATAAACCTTTATGGTGTTTGGGAGAAAAAAGCAGCATTGTCAAACTGCTCTAGGAACCCGTGAAACTTTTCACATTTCCCATCTAATTTAAACTGCACATCTAAACCTTCTTTTAAAGGACTGGTCTGGGAGTCAGCAGTCTGGGTTATTTTTCCACGATTTGCCTGATGAGCTTTGGGTTTTGGCAAAGCTCTCAGTCTTTCTGTATCTCAGTTTACTGACCTATGAAATGGAATAATAAATAACACTGTCTTGTATACCTTTCAGGATTGTCAGAAAATCAAATTAATGAAGTTATGTGGAAATGCTTTAGAAAATTGTGCTGTAGTCTGTAAAAATGAGAGTTTCTTTCTCTCTTTCTTTTTTTCCACACAGACACACATACATGCACAAGAATTTGATTACTAGAATGCACCATTTCACTTTGTAATGAAATTAATAGTGACTTAAGTATGATTGCCACTGGAATATTTTTCAGTTACTAATATCCTCTACAAATGTAACATTTTGCACTGAGGCTCAGAGGTAAATGTTCTTTCCATTGTGTGCTGAGCTGGAGAACATTTCAGTGTGACATGGGATCATTATGAGATGAAGAAATGTTCATTTCAAAATCACTTTGGGGGTTGTGGTATTTTTTTGTGCTTTTAGAAATTAAAAAAATATGGTTGTAGCTATAAATTTTAGACTTGGCAGGAATGCTGTTTCCATCAAGGAAGAAAAGTCAAGCCATATTTGAAGACAATTATGTAAGTATTTTTAAGTTCCAAAGATAGAAAATTAAGGTCTGGGGTTGAGAAAAACAAGCATTTGTTTCATGAGATTTTTAGAGAGTTGCCAAAATAGAGGGGACCGTCTCTCAGATTTATAGGATGGTAAGTACTTAGTATTTTACACGTGTAATTTTTTTTTTCAACCTGTATGGTGTCTTGCTCTAATTTATTTTTTAAAGAA